TTGTAGAAACCAGACATTGATTGCAATGATTGAGTGTTTGTATGAATTCATGAGTCTTTCAAACACTCTTTTGGTCTCTTCTGAACTAATGGTTATATCAATGGATCTAATGTTTGGTAACTTCTTGACCATTGATTCCAATGCTTGACAATTGATGTTTGCAAACCATTCACTTGAATACTTGATGTCTTTTTTTATGATCAATTTGTTCACCACTTCATCGACATTAAGACAAACTTGTGGTTTGAATACCAATCGCTGCCACTGTTTGGACAGACATTCAAATCGAAAACAGTCTTCGAGTGACAGATAAGACAATATCTCTTCGCATAAGTCGTCTCCATATCTGTCTAATGAGTCTTTCAGATAATATTCCTCTTCAGTGGACTTCATATGAATTGATGACATCTTTAGCTATAAATACAATCAATTCATAAATACATTGAAATGAATATAAAATGATGCAATCATTGAGTGATTGACACAAAAGTGAAGTCTTTTTACAAACCTTTTGACACAACTCTTGGCTTTCATTGTCTTCTTCTTCAGCCATCACTCCTTCGACTCGTTTCGCGTATTAAACGTTAATTCAAACAAAATGTGATTTAAATGTAAAATCAAATCAATTTTCAAAACTCTTGATTGAGTCCGGAGTATCAGAGGTTTACTATAACTTTGAATGCAGTTTCAATTATATTATGATTTTATTCTTACAGAATATTTAACGAGTAGTCAGAATATGTCATTTATATTGTCCTTGACCACTTTTATCGGTAATATTTTCATTATCAATATACATTACACATGTGTTATGTTTATTCATTAGAGAATTTTACACTCAATACTATGGTATAGTATATACTACAAGAATATTCTGTGTGTGAAAAATAATGTAATCATTGAATCACTGAATAGACTATTCATTAATAACGTCACGTATTTATGCCGTAAACTTGTTGTCAAAGAATATTCTGTGAGACAAATGACCACAGAGTTTGTGGAACTAATTCTTATGATATTCCTCTTGAGCCACATTTGAATCATTCATTTACTTTTTACATAAAATGCAAATAATGTAATCCTAAGACTAAATATAAACTTTAAACACAAGTTTCACTGAAAATAAGTTATCAATAAAAACTTTTTAAGAATAATTTTTCAGTTTTTGTGTCTAATTTGCTGTAAATATGTTGTTCTTAATGATACCACCGATGGATGAGTTGTTGACAAAAGAAATGCAGACAATGTTTGGTATAAAGAGAGAGTTGGAAGCGATTGAATGAATGGACACATCTATGACTGTCGTGTGAACCAAACCGACAAAAAAGTGATGTCTTTTCAGTGAATTAAATGCCAAACACTTGACCAGAGATGAGATCATTTAATTTCATAATTATTATCGAAATAAACATTTTATTAAAACTAATATTTTATTAAGATGACATTTAATAATTAAATCTAATTCAATACACAATTATTATTTGTAATAAAATTTATAATTGACTTCAAATGAGTGATGAGTTATTTATCATTCAATTAATCAGAAAATGAAATTCCCAGTTATGACTAGTTTCAAATATTAATAATATTTATTACACTAATTGAATTCATTGTTGATTATTGAATAATTATTATAATGTGTTTACGATTATTAAATATACAGTATTATAAATGTTTCAAATTAAATATTTCACAAAACTATTAATCAAATCAATTGTTTAACAAAACGTAATACAAAACTATTATTAGGAAATTATTATTAATAACTATATAATATCAATGTTAATTTATAATTGTTCATTTATTTTAAAAAGACCTTTATCGCCACTATCATAGTTAACAAAAAGTGGTCAAATAGTTGATTAAATAGTTATTTATTTTTCTATAGTTTTAATTAAAACCCTTTCTAATTTATTATAATAGCAATTAATATGTGTTATTTATGAATTTTGTTAACTAAATAATTATATTATTTGATTAACTGGTAAATATAATCATAATTTAGTCACTAAACAGGATTATATTAATACCAAAAAAATCCAATTTCGATCTCTTTTAAACAAAGGGTTAACAAAGGGTAAACAAAATGTTCTAGGATATTTTGTATTTGTATAAGTATTCGGAGACGTCGCCGCGTATTGTGGTCTTAAATCTGTGAACCAATTGGTGGCCGAGTTTTGCCTCAAGAAGAAGGCAGAGATAATTGAGTCGTTGTTCACGCGATACGAGTCCGTCGATGACGTCAAGAGAGTGTTGGCAGTCATGAAGCCCTCGCAGTCGGATGTGATCGAGTGGTTGACACCAGACGTGATCGCCAACAGTGGCCACAAGCCTAAGGAGTTGGAAGCGCTCATCAATTTGGACGAGTGTTCCCTCGAAGACGTATTGGCGCTCATAAGGACTGAGCTGTTCCGGGACAGGGATCTGATTTCTATATCACAGCATAAGTTCACGGACTATAAGAGTCGTATGGAAGCAAAGATGCAAATGATGTCTGATTTCATCAAAACTTTCAATGACTAGAACTGAACCACAAGTTTTGATAACTATTAATATCAATGATATTCTGATTTGTCTTAAAATATTTGTTTTTAATTATTGTCTCACTTTTTAAAAATTAGATATATGAATGAAAACAGTATACAGTAATAGTATTGTATTTAAATTAATAATTACTTCATGTAATCACAGTCTAAATGTAAACTTTTGTATGTTTAAACAATTCTCAATAAAAACTTTTGAAAACTTTTATTTGAGTTATTTCTCTCAGTTTTTGTGTTTAAAGTGCAGTAAATGTGTTGTTCTTAAGGATATCACCGATGGATAAGTTGTGGACACAAATGCAGACAATGTTTTGTCCGAAGAGTGCGTTGAAAGCGATTGAATGAACATATCTGTGAAGACCAGAGCCTGTCGTGTGAACCAAACCAACAAAAATGTGATGTCTTTTGGGTTTTACTGAATGCTATGAAAAACATTTGAATCACATTTTATAACAATTTTGTTTCATTCATCACTTTTACTACACTTTTACTTTAAAAGTACTCATTATATCACAACATCATGTCATTACAAATTAAAAGACACAACTTTGAGATTATTATTTATTTCTATTGAAATCAATACAAACACAGTATTAGTTTTATGAATTGTATTCAAATATTATAATCAATAAATGTTTACAAAACTATAATTAAGACAAAAACATAATTAAATTTACATTCATTTGAAATGTTATCAAAATTAACAGATTAATGTTATATAATGGTTATAATGAGTGCTAAAAAGTGAGACAATAATTAAAAACACAAATATTTTAAGACATAAGTAGAGTATCATTAATACAGTAGTTATCAAAACTTGTGGTTCAGTTCGAGTCATTGAAAGTGTTGAAGAAATCAGACATCATTTGGATCTTCGCGTCCATTCGAGTCTTATAGACCGCAAACTTGTGCTCCAATATAGCCATCAGATCCGTGTCCCGGAACAGCTCAGTCTTCGACAGCGCCATCACCTCCTCTATGGAACAGTCATCCAAATCGATGAGTATCTCCAACTCTTGTGGGGTATGCCTACTGTTGGCGATCACCTCCGGTGACAACCACTTGATCACATCGGATGTGCTCATCTTAATGATGACCAACACTCTGGCGACCTCTTCGACGAACTCGTATCGCGTGAACAGCGACTCCAGAATCTGACGCTTCCGTTGCTGACAAAACTCGGCCACCGATTGGTCCACCGATTGGATCCCGCATTGAGCGGCAATCTCGCCGATCGCCAAGAAGTTGTCGACCGTCAGGAAGTCGGCGTTCCTCGCAATCATCGACACGAGTCTGTCCTTCGCGATGATGAAGAGGTCGTCGATGGCGTACCGCTGCGACAGCTTTATGAGTCCCACCACTATCTGCCAGTTGTTCTCCGCGTCCAACGTCTTTCGGTAGATGTAAGACATCATCTCACGGACGGCATCCGGTATGACACCATTGATGGTGATCTCTGCCATTACCGGCATATCTGTGAACATCTTTCTGAACTCCTGGCTAACGGTCGCCAACACTATCTTATGGCCGATGAACTGTTGGCCATCGCAGAGCACCGTCAGGTCACTCATCGCTGGGTTGTTGTAGTAGTGCGCGAAGAGATGATCAGATGACATGACTTCTGGAGGAATGATATCTACATAAAGTGGATTAAATGTGGGAAACAAGTGATACACGACTGAAGCCTTTGAAACACTGCTTAGTATTGCACTAACACTGCCAGTGGGGGTCACATGTCCTCTAATGCCTACCCCTTCCACATTCATCGCTACAGACAAACCCCGATATTTGCTAATTAATCGCTTACAATAACTTTAACAAACTTTTACAACTACACCTCAAATGCAAGTATAATTAACTAAATGCATACAACTATACATAACTAACTAATTATAACTAAATCAAGTAATTTGTATAATACATTATAATTAAATTGATTAATAAACATCAAAATTAAATGTATAAATAAATGGCATTAGACTGTAATATAAAGCTATTTGTCGGCAATTGACTCATCACTCGTTTAATACTAATACAAAAAAGCAATGAAATACTTAATACACAACACAATACAGACACAGAAAACTCTACCCAAAAATACATTGAAATAAATGTTGCCATCATTTTTAAAAAACACTTTTTTATTACGAAAATTGAATGAAAAAAATCAATAATAGGTTTGTTTCGAGTGATTGATAAATGAGTGACACAAAGGTAATTGTAAATTCAGTTTAGGTTTGTTTCGATGATTAGACTAACAATTAAACAAATCATATAATAGAGAGAAGTCGAAAAAATTCATTTTCATTAGTAATTCAATACATATAGTGAATAATTAAAGTATGGTATCGATAGGTATAAGTTTTTTAAACATAAAAATTACACAAACGATAGGGAAATCATTTACAGAATCATTAAATTAATTCCAATTATTGTTATTATTTACTTATAATTTATGTGTGTTTCGCAAAAATGAAGTGATTTTTTAGTTAGTTTTGTCTGACAATAGGCGTGACATACAGAGAAAATAGAGGACACGGAGTGGTAGTAGTAGTGGCTATAAATTGGTCAAAAAGTGAGCGCTAATGAGTCGGGACGTCGGTCGGGGACAGGGATCTGAAAGAATCGCTACAATATTCGTGTGAATCGATTCCACGAGAGATGAATTAAGAGCTAATGGTTTGTGTGAAAAACTCTTCAATCATTAGAAATAAGATAATAATTGTCACTGAAATGGTCACTAATATCTGAAATAATTTAGTCATATATTAGAATCGATTCCACGAGAGATGAATTAAGAGCTAATGGTTTGTGTGAAAAACTCTTCAATCATTAGAAATAAGATAATAATTGTCACTGAAATGGTCACTAATATCTGAAATAATTTAGTCATATATTGGTAGAGCCGTACACTTGTCGAGAGGCCGTCGAGAAAACGCGATTAAAAATAACAGAAATTCTTGTGAAATGAAGACAAAAAATATATAATAAAACGAAAACCACTTCTTATTCTCCTTCGGGGTCGTCGTCCTCATCATCGGGACCGCCCTCTCCCTCGTCGCCATCCTCTCCCTCATAGAGCTCCTCGTCGTCCACATCCTCCTCATCATCGGCGCCGTCGTCGTCCTCCTCCTCGACCACAACCACCGACTCGTCGTTCTCGTCCTCGTCTTCATCGGACTCGCCGTCTTCGCCATCGAGTCCGCCATTTTCCACCTCAATGTCGGGCACCAGGAAGTACTGGAGCGGATTGGGCCACATGTCGTCTTTGATCACTTCGGCGATGTCGTCAGCGCTGGCGTCGCCGTGATCTGTGAACCACGTGAAGAAGGTTCGCGGGAACTCCAGCTGACGCTTCCGCGACGTCTTCGAGTCCGACTCGTTCTTGTTGTACGCGTTCTGCTGGTCCTGCAGTCTCTTCGACAGGTCAGAGCCCTCTCGCCATTTGATTTGCGTCGACTTCGACGCCGGATCTCCTATTAGATCCACAATCGGCACACAATTAGAGCAAACTGTACCACATCTACAGTTCATGAGACATACCTCCGGCCCCTAAATGGAATTCCTTCTCCAAGAGATCGTTTTCGAAGTACGGGTTCTCATCGAAATAGAATTTGATTCTATAGCCACTCTTGATATCCTCGAACTCCTCCACTTCCAACTTGGACAGGAAGTGCAGACACTCCTCCTCGTCCTCATCGAGAATAGCGGAGATTTGCGGGTGATTTACAAACTATTGGGTCAATGACAACCAATTAGTACATCACGTGTTTGCCTCTATCGCACAGTCATTGCCGGCGTTTTTCATAGCATTCAACACAAAAAGTTTACACTAATTTCTACACTAAATGTTACAATTAATTAACACTCAACTCGTGTGTCAGTACTTTAAAAAGTGCTTATTGTGTGTAAATTCAGTCAATAAATGCTATTTTAAACATAAAACGATTAAAACTCGTTTACATTTAATAAATGATAGCAAATAATGGCAAACATTTTGTGTAGAGAAAGAGTACTACTGAGAGACTCCAAGCAAACCATTTACTGGGAAAGCCTTTTAAAATAAATAATCAATGGCTATACTAATTGCTAATTAACATCATTAACTTCACTCTAAAATCATTACTAAACTAATAAATTAAAAAAAACAAATGATTCACAAAAAAAGTACAATAAATAAAGCCATTGGACACGAGTTACCCATAAACGAGATAAAGTGTAACAAAGGCTACGAATAGAGAGAAAGCGGTTTGTATTGAAAACTACTGCCAATGGACTCAATGCACTACAAGACACCACACAAGACATAGATATGACGAGACAATGGGTGCCATCGATGGTAATACTCACAGCCGTGACCCAGAAGTTGGGAATCTTGGCGATCAACTCGTTTCGCTTCTCGAAGAACGGTTTGCGGAGTTTATTGTACTTCTGCTCCACTTTGAGGATCTCTTCGGAGGCCTTCTCATTGAGCGAATCGATCTCATTCTGCGTGGCGTCGATCTCCTCCAACGTCTTCTGAGTCTCGGGATCGTAGTCACGGGACTCGTCCTCCAGAGAGTCGGCACCGCCGCTGGAGTCCAATCGGTTGGCGTTGTTGTTGTTGTTCGTCGTCTTCACCTCTCCGTTGTCCACCTCATCGCCGGTCTTCAACTTCTTCGATGGCGTGGGCCCGGAATTGGTCGTTGCTGTCGATGACATGTCGGCCGATCAATGTCTGGTAGAGACAATCACACCATTAGTGGCGCGCATAGCATGGCATGTATGCGATTGTCACCAATACTCACATCAAATGTCTTGTACGCGACCAAAGAGTGCAAACTATAGTCACAATGGGTGCGAATCGGTCCGCTGGTGACAAACAGGTGCCTCTCGTGAGCGGTTGTGGACACGATGTGGTGATAATATCACTAAAATCGGTGGTTTGATTGCAAAGCACGCCGGCTATGGATACACAGAGAGAGTGCTGTAGAGACACAGAGAGAGAGTGAGTGAATGAATGGCTTACAGACAGACTGTGTGCACAACACACACACAATAGGCATACAAACAGTGAACCAATGCACAGATCGCACAGCACTGCCACTACACAACGCTAAGTCTATGGCTATATAGCGCTATAACGCTATTCAATGCACTATTTGATAGTCTCCTCTCTCTCGAGCATTCAATACTGTGTCTAACGCTATAGCCTATAGGAAATGGCCGTTCGCTGGTAGGGATGAACGCCGGTTACTATGACTGACACAGTGTTGGCAATGCATTGCCGACTGCTGTATAACCGGACTCTACTCTCCCACTAATCGCTGTAGTGATAGGACTATCCATTAGGTGTGGCCTAACTTTGCCCTAAGTTTAGTGTACGAAACTGTACTCTTCACCCATACATCACTCAATGGACTTCACTGTTGAGCCTATTGTCTCATACGTGATGTAATAGGCCTTACGTTACACTTAACCCTTTGCCTCCCTGTGTGCCCACACGGCCAACAGCCCTACCCTTAACCCGATGTGTCATTCGCTGTGAACTGTTTGATACGTTTGCTATAAACGAGTGCATTATTGGCAGAGTCTATGCAATCGCACCAAACATTTGCTATAAACTTACAATAATTAATAGGCACTCAATACAGTCATACAAATTCATTAATCATATCATACTCTATCACAATGAGAATAAACCTATGGTAGTATTAAAACTGTCTTGCTCATTGGCCTCATAAAATAGTCTCTGAAAAACTTACTTGACCATTGCACCTGGGTATTTATCATGTAATTTACATGCATTCATTTCAGTTTCATAAGGGGTTAACTTGAGGGGGTGGGCCCTTTTGCCCCCTGCCTACCTAAAAAACGCTTTAAAAAATTAAATATCAACCCCCCCCTCCATAAGTGCGCCCGTAATGTATGGAGAGCTATGTTAACGCACGCGATTGGCCTTGAATTGTAACACCACACCAATCAGTGTCTCATTAACCGTAGCACTTGATTACGTGCCACCAGTGCTCCCCCGAACACCCCCTTCCCACCCATACCGTGACTGTGAGTAACCCTTTCGCCCATAGATAGCGTTATTACTGGCGTTGAAAAGTGAAAGCCATACGAAAATACAGTCTACTTTGTGGTGACGGGTTGACAATCGGTAGGTCACGTAGCATTCACGCCAATGTATTGGTGGGTGGATAGCGAGAACCGGATTTAATTTAATTGTCTGTCCATTGGTTTGACCTGGGTGATAACTGTTGTGATAGTTTGAGCTAATGGTGCATTTGTTGCTGCCATGTTACTATTTATTCATAATTATACTGGCTATAATGAAAAACTTATAATTATAAATAATTGATGCTTAAATTAGTTGAAAAAGTACCTGGAACTTTATAGAAACTGATGTAAACTGATTCTGAATGACATTCTTTTGGTGAATTTACACTCTGGAGGAATACTAAGAGTACATGTATAGATATCTTATTTAAGCAAGCAATTTTATAACAATAAAAGTCATTAATTAGTTGTAATTAAAGTAATTATCAACAAATATTTAATTAAAAAATATAATGATAGTGAGAAATACTTTAATGCTCACCCAAATATGCTACAAATAATAAAAATTATTTTAATTACATGCAATGGACAAACTAGGTCAATTTTAATAATATATTTGCATAAATAATTAAATTTAAAAAGTTTGTAGTTTTCATACCATAAGTACAATGTATGACAATAGATAGCAATCAGTGCGTTATCGTAGCCTTTGAAAAGATATAACGCATAGCATTAGCACAGAAACTATTTACATAAAAAGGTACCAAAGGTGGTGAATACAAGCAAAAGCAATATTTTGTTGACTCGCTTTCAATTGAAAGCTGTAATTGTAAACCGCTTTCTAATCCTCGCTGTACTTCACTGACACAGTTTGATGCGCCTTGGCAATACAGTGACTGCCGTATATCGGTGTGCCACACATTGGTTAAGTCCAAAAATGGCGTCCAATATAAGCGCCAATAATATTGATCTCAAATTAATTAACAATAATAGCAATGAATCGCTTAATTGTGTGTCATTTCAACGCCAACCCAATTGCGTGACGATCGGTGGCAATGGTTTTGAGGCCAATCACCACAACAGCACCGCAAACGCCAATCACCACAAGCACGCGAAACGTGAGTACAGTCTGCGAGACAATATTTGATCCATTGATCACCCGATTTGGTCACTAATTGTGGTCTCAATTTGATTATGTTTGCCGCCAATCCATGGCAGGTGTGAGTGATACTAACTCCACGGCGATGCCAACCATGAACTCCACATCTAATGGCGAGAAAGTGGTGTCCAAGACATCGGTCACGTCCGCCAACAGCCATAAGACCTCCAAAACGAAAGTCTTATTAAATGGCGATAAATGTGTGAACAGTTTGTCGACAAATGGTGTGCAGAAGTGCGCGAAGACTTTGACGGCATTTAAGTGCAGTAATAAAGTGACGGCGAGTGAGACAAACGGCGAGACATCGGTGTCCGCGACGGCCAACAATTGTCACAATAATAATCATAAGACTAACGACAGACACAAACCAATGAATGACCAAAACGTTTGTCTCAATAAATGTGATAATAATGTAGTGAAACACCGGAAGTCATTACAACTGTCGTCCAAACCATCGATGGTTACCGTAAGTGACGGTAAAGTGGATAAGAAGTACGAGTCGAAGGACTTACTGAAGATTAAGAGGAGTAATAATTGCGAGAAGAAGACACCGGACAGTAATGGCGTCGATATCAAGAGGAATAAAGTGTTAAATAACGATAAAAATAACAATTTAAGTGATTTACGGGTTAGCACTTCCGCCGGTGATGTGTCGGCGAAGCACTCGAGGAATGAGTCGACCAAACAGTCATTAAATGATTGCCATAAATGTGTTGACATTAAGAGTGAGTGTGTGAACAGCTTCGAGACGACAAACGGGTTTCCAGTGAATAGTAATAAGAGTAAAGACGTGGTGAACAAACAGATGATAAACAGTTCCCAACAGACAAACGGTGGCACACCTGCGACCGCCAACGAGTGTCAGTCTATGTCTAGTGGTGTCGACAAAAGCAAAGCCATTGAGTCGACACAGAAATCATCGCACAATCAGTGGTCGGCGGGAAAGCCGCTGAAGAACTCCATGTGCTCGAAGTGTCGCCGGAAGTCTGTGTCCAACGTTCGCATTCAGTGCAAAATGGATCAGTACTTGTCGTCGCAGTTGAGGACATTTCCCGCGTCGATAAGTCTGTCGCTTATGACGCCGCGACTGCCACTGCCGGCGCCCGACCTCCTGAACCTGAAATACGGGAAGTACTACCGCGTGGAGCACTACCCGAACGGTATGGCAAAGGTGTTGCACCTGTATTGGGACGAAATCATACATTTGACGGCCGATGAGAGGAATGAGTTGTCGCTCGAGTTCCTGAAGGAGAGCTTTCGTGAGGAGAGCCCTAATTGCGCCAAATATGTCATCTCTATTGTCCACAACGCCGCCTCCTATATGCCAGACCTCCTCGAGTTCTTCGCCTCCAGTGAGCCACACCTCACGGTTAAGGCGGGAGTGTTGGGCCACTCGGGCTCTGATATCGAGACGACGACAATGCAAGCCTACAGAGAGAATGTATGTATCGGTGGATCCGTTTCATGTGATAATCTTTACGTTAATTAACACTTTTTTTGGTTGTGTTTTGAAGTTAATATTGTTTTTTGCCTTTTTTCGCACTTTTAGTTAATGTATTGAAAGTAAAAATGGTTTTCCTTTAGACTCTCTAGCATTTCGTGAAGAGATTTTTGTTTATGTTTTTTCTTTTCGTTAGTTTTTTATGTGATTTTTGTTTTGTTGTTAGGTTTCAACCTTTACTTCCATTAAGTTTTATAAAGTGGTGTATTTTCTTGAGATTTTGTTTTTTTCATTTGCTGAACGCAATGATACTGTAATAAGTTTTTTCGCGTTGAGCTCTAGAAAAGCTGTTTTGAATTATAATAAAAACTTGTTATCTCTGGTATTCATGTGAGACTTGAGCCGCGATTTTTGCCATCGGTTTTGGTTTTCACTGTTTATTCGGAGTGAAAACTTCTGTTGTTATTGTTTGTGTGAATAATAGGCAATACATTAGGTATGAGATGCGAGTATGTCTTCACAATAAGCGATATTTTACTCCAAAGGCTATATTTCTGTCAAAAAATGAAAAGTTTTCAATTAATCTTTAATAAAAGTCTCGTATATACAGCACATGACAGTGTATTTCATTCACGAGTCTTATCTCGAAAATGTTTAGTATTACATAAAAAGCACTTTTTTCACTCACTTTTAAATACTCGTATAGTGGCTATTGAATGACAAAAAATGTTCATCAAGTAAACGAGACATTTATTACCAGTGTTAGTGTGCCATTGGGTCCGATGTTTTGCTTTTAACATGTATTTATCGTCGTATTAATCTTTTTTACTACACTTTTCTTATTATTATTTTCTCGTAANCAAAAAATGTTCATCAAGTAAACGAGACATTTATTACCAGTGTTAGTGTGCCATTGGGTCCGATGTTTTGCTTTTAACATGTATTTATCGTCGTATTAATCTTTTTTACTACACTTTTCTTATTATTTTCTCGTAAAATATTTGGCTTTCTTACAAATTGTTTGCATAATATTTGTTATACGAAAATGTTTTACATTTTTCCGTAAATTCTTGAGTATTTTTTCTGTTTGTTTTTTGCGGGCATTTATAGCTTGAAATTTCTTATGTTTTAATCTATAGTTGAGTTTTTTATTACATTTGATTTTTGTTCAAAGCTTTCGTTGTCTTTACAGTAGCGTTGATTTGAAAGCATTTTTTTCGCTGTTTATCTAAACATAACATTCATATCAATAGAAAGTGTTTATTCTTTGAAGCCATCGATCCGTTTACTACTGTATATCATAGGATGTCTCATGCGATATGTAAACCTGTTTTACAATATTTGCCAAATTATTCTCGCATTTATTGTTATGTATTAACATTTAAAGGTCTCATTCATTCTCGGTGTCTATTTATAGTGTACTTATAATTATGTTTTTATTAAAACGATTTTATTATTTACTTTACTCTATTGCCACTCCTATTCGGTAATAAAGTTATGAAATATTAATATTAGTTTTTTTTTATATAAATTAATTTGTTTGTCATTTATTTGTCATTTTTATGGCGCTTTCAATGAAATTAATTTTCAGCGAAATGCAAACACTATGCACTCGTTTGCCATCAATTAATTGGTTTTTGAATTAAATTTTATTTTATGCTTTAAAATAGTTATTTATTTTTGGTATTAAATTTTTCTATTAATTATTTTTGTTATAAATTGATTAATAAATGGTTTAATGATTTGTTGTTTTATT